ATTATCAAAGACGTTTTGATAATAAAAGATATAGCATCAACTAAGTACATCAAAATTATATATCGACACTCTGTAGTGCAACTAACATTGTTTTTGTTTCGCGGCAAGGCCCTCTTCAGAAACCTTTCTAAAAAGTTAATTGCGGTGTCAACGGTGGGAAAGAACAACGATTTTTAACTTCTGGAAAATTATTTTTGATTACCCCAAAATTCTACGCGTGTCTTGGTTTACTTGCTCTTGACACCTATTGTTCTGGTATAATCAGTACATAACAAAATTACAATTAATACATTTTTTTGCAATAAAATTACGAAAAATCGCGCCGAGTAGATGGTTGTTTCACTATCTATCAACGAAGAGACAAATGGCGAGTAGCTTAGCCTAGTAACAATAACTATGAGATAAATATACTATTTAATCTATATGTAGACTACCAAACTTTCATGATCCAGAAAATGTTTCACAGCTTTGCTACTCAGTTATTATTCTTGGCCACTGATACTGCATTTGTAACAGAACATCGTCTAAGTGGGGTTGTAACAATCCAGTGTTTGTATTAATCAGACATAGGATAAGTAACAATTACTTTAATTACAATATTTCGAAGTATAGCCTTCTCTTTAGGTAAGCAACGCAACTGCATGTAAAGGTATGAAAACTTTTAATTAACTTTAAACACTTTAAACTTTAATGCATGTCAAACAACTACATATCTTAAAAACATGGAGCTATACTTCGAATTACTAAGTAATCTCTGTGGCTTATTATGACTAAACCTGTGGTTTAAAGCACGATCATGGGGTTTACGTTGGTGGAGTAACTTCCGTGTACATCAAATAACTTATCTTACAGAGCCTGGTCAGTCCTTTCCTGTGCTTCGACACTCATTCAGATATTCTGGCCTTACCAGCTCTCCTCAGTAAAAACTAACAGTTAGGCATTAAATTCGCTAACATGGGCGCACCGGGCAGGGGGGAGGGGGCGGCGAAGGGGGCGGCAACACCCCCCCCCCACCCACCCACCCAGTTTTTTCGGAAAACAAAGCCAGTCGGGCAATATTCGCTTCACAGTCGGGCAATATTGGCTTATTATAAAAATAAATGGGAAAAATTCTGTCAATTTTGTGGGAAATTCTGTCAATATTGTGGGAAATATGCTATCTGATAGGAATTTTTCGTAATCACTCCCCCGCCCCCCTTCCCGTCGACAACAATTTTGGAAAGTTTCTCCGGAAATTTTTTTGACACCGCGGGCACAATCCGAAAACGTCGGGCAAATTTCTTTCCCCCCTAATTTTTTCCTTCCCGTACGCCCATGTTCGCTAACATGACTATCGGATTAACCTTAAGGTTCACCTTTTAAAATAAAGACTGTCTGAATAAAACTATCATCAACCAATCAATTCAAACACTGGATTACACAAGCATGGAAATGTTTCTACCCCTCAAATACTGTAATGCATAGGGATAAAATGAATAATTATTGTAGAAACATGTATCACTATAGCTGAGAAGGAAACGCGTTGTTCTTCCAGACAGGCTGACACCCGGAGATCTTGGGGGAAGTGCGGCAAGTTTAACACTTCCCCCTTCTCTTCTTCCATCTCTTCGTCCACATGCTATTGCTCCTCGTTTCCAGTTTCCTCATATCCATTAGCAATGCGTGATAGTTGAATGTTCTCCTCCGGAGAGACTAGAAACTGTTCGCGTTGAAACAAAATCCCGCGGGAGTCGGCCATGATACACTTTGGGGAGTTCTTGTCACAGGTATCACCCATAGATATCCTATATACACTAGATAGAGCATCTCTTTAAGTAAAATTGAAGCCAAGAATATTCAAGCGGTTACCCCCATTTGAATAGATGGCGGCGATGTTGAAGTTTCCCACTCGCAAATAAACGCTTAAAAAACAATAACTTTCATCATTTGAACAGTTTGAAAATGTATTTGGAATAGGTTTAACCTAATGTTTAAGTTCCCTGATTAAAAAATAGAAAACATACGAGTCTTCTGATTTCATGGGAATATCCTGAGCCTGCAATCACGTCTTAAATATTTGAATAGCAGAGTGGATCCTCTGTTTGGTTAAGCCATCGAATGCTCATATTGTTCCTCAAGAACATTGCACTGTCAGCTTCGTCGCAAACGTCCTCCAGAAGAATAGCTAAACAGCACGGGGATGGTTCCCTCCTTAAATTGTGGCTGATGACGACGACGTCACCCTGGGTACAGAACCCTAACCAGTGCTGCATGAATTGCCTCGATTACTGTTGGGTGCATTCACAGTCTGGCATTCTTACACAATGTCCTCCACTTCTGCCGAGGCGGTAACGGCGGCTGGTCTCATGCTCAAGGAATATTGAAGGGTTCCTGTAATCTTTTTCTTCTTTGTAGGAACGTTTCCTTGTCTCACTTCCCTGCCGTATTCGCTTACAAATTCTCACATTACTTCCCCGCGCCTTTTTTCATTGTCTTTCTCCCCACTTCCCTTACTCGCAACACTTTGCTTTGTTGCACGGGAGGCCATGTTGGGCGTGTCGCTCTTGATAATTTTCTCACGGTAAAATAAATTGGGTCCAGTGAAATACGAACAAATATGATTACAACAAATATGCTTTTTTTTTAAATTAATAAAACAATGGATTTCAGAACGACCTGGGCTCTGAATTCCGGATTCCTCAGTTATTTGGATTCCAGATTCCACTGTCTGAATTCCGGATTCCAAGACTCCGGATTCCGGATTCCTAAAAAAAAATAAAGTCGGAATCCGGATTCCGGATTATTTCACAAGAGACGAATATTATAATGCCAGACCTGGAACGCATACTCCAAAGCAGGTCTAATAATTTTACTATATTCAGTAATCAATGTGTCTATACACATGTTGCACCTTTTCAGCAGCCTTAGCATATAGAGTCAGCCTCTTGCTAGCTTTTTTATCTTTGTTGTGTATATGTTCATTCCACTTCATGCTGTCAGTTGAACTGTGACGCCAAAGATACGGCCAGATTTCGCTCGTTCACTATTAACTTCATCCAATGCTAAAGGAGCGAAAGCAATGCTTCTCTTCTGCAAAATCAATAACCAGCTCTTTGCATTTTCCGATGTTTAGTTTCATATTACTACTCGTTGTCCAATTATCGATGTAATTAACCAGATTTTGAAGATTGCTGTTACAGTCTGGGGTAATGGTTTCAGTAGTAGTAGTATCGTCAACATATTTCCATCGATCCTTCCAATTGGCGAGAAGATAATTTATCATGACTGAGAAGAGGAATTGGCCTAAAAAGTTACCAGTAGTACTCCACCGTTGAGGATTTGCCATTAGATCCTTTAAAATTGCGCAGCGCAGGCGGTACTCTATTAGTAATATTGTAAATTATTTCAAATATTTAAACTTTAAAAAGAATTCGAAAATTAGACTTATTTTAAAAAATGTATGTAGTTAACGTTAGGGCTCTGTTAAGGAATGCCTTAACATATCTATACAAAAACACTACATCCATGTATTTTGAATTAAACCACTTGCTCTAAATTACTAGTATTTTGGATGATTTTATATCCCATTCGTACTTATAATCTTTTTGTTTTAGTGGCAGAAACTATGAGGGCAATAACTTCTTGAAGCCTGAATCAGAAATAGCTTTAGCAGTGTAAATTTGCATCCCATTTTATGTCTGCCACTGGAAAATGAGAAGTGTCGTATTTTACTCACATTATGCCTCACATTTGAAATTTGCATGATGTAAACAATTTATACTATATATAATGACTACTTTTTGAGGTATGTAAAGATATATTAAACATGATGTTACTTTGTTACTTTTATGAAATGATGCATTGTTTCACAAAGACAAAGGGGATAACAATATCAACAACTCAACATGCAAGGCTAATAATAAATATAGGATATTTCACGGTGGCACGGAAATATGACTTTTATTTTCGAGTGGTGAAAACAATATTTTACGAACGAGCGCAGCGAGTGAGTAAAATATTGTTTTCAACACGAGAAAATAAAAGTCATATTTCCAAAGCCACCGTGAAATGTTCTTTTTATTATATGGATAAAAGTTGAAGCAAAAACAACAAAACGTATGACTTTATTAGTTTATTCAAGTTTTGTTTTTTGTTTTGTAGCTCACCGTACGGCAACAATGTTTATGCCTCTCCGCTTGCTAATCGAGGCTAAATAGTCGCTGAAGATCGCCAAATAGGACTAATTAGTCTTCCTTTTTGTGTTTTTATTTTCTTCAGAAAATCTTGCCAAATCAGCGTCGAAAACATCAACAAAATGTCGAGAAGTTATCATATTGTATATTCAAAACAGAAACGGCAAAATGGCGGGAATTAGCGTGGGTCCCGCGCGAGACGTTCCCGCGTAAGATATGATTTCATATTTCACTATAGTGAAATACGGAAAATATCAGTGGCGTATTTTACGGTATTTTACTCATACCCATATAATAAATGATAATATATCATGTTCAATGATAATATATCCATGATAATATATTCTTCAATAATGATATATTATGTTCAATATAGGCATACAGGTTCAGGAAGGAAAAAATTAGGGGAGTGGAAAAAATTTGCCCATTGTGCCCGATTTGTCAAAAAAAAAATTCCTTGAAAACATTCCAGAATTTTTGTTCAAAATTATGTATTATTATAACATATGCCAATATTGAGAGAATTTCTCTTTTTATTTTTATAAACCAATGTTGCTCGACTGTGAAGCGAATATTGCCCGATTGGCCTAGTCTGCCCAACAATCGTGGGGCCAACTGCCCCACCTGCCCCTCCCCTCCCAGTCTTGCATGCCTATGATGTTCAAGCAATAAATAGTATACATAACAGCCACTGGTTTGTCAGGTAATTATAATTACGTATAGTCACATAAAATGATCAAATATGAATCTAGAACGTTTTTTTGGCAATGATGTTTTCTGATGTTCAGCTAGTTCTTGTTTGTAAGTTTACAAAAAATTCTAGAATTGCCCGTTGCTGTTTTTGTATTAGCATCATTTGCAAGTTTTCATTTTGTTGCATGCGTTGTTGAAATTGCTGCTGCTGTTTCTGCTGTTGCATGTTTTGGTCCTGCATTGCATGTAGCATCTCCATTTGTTGCTTGCTGGCATCCTTATGTATGGCCAAGTTCGCAGTGTGTTTCTTCTCCTCCAATTCTAACATTTTCTATTTGACTTCCATCTCCTCTTTCTGCACCTTTTTCTCACTCTCGAATTTTTCCTTCAAATATATAAACCAGCTCCCCTCCACTTCTTCGTCTCCTTTTCGTTTTTTTCTCCTTTTCTTCGCCTTTTCGTTTTTGAGAATGTTTCCATTGCAGTCCGTCTCACATCATCACTTGTTACTGGTCAGCTTTTTCTTGATTCATTCGGCTTGCGTCTTCTTGTTCTGCTTCACCAATCTGCTCGGCAATATAAATCTCTTCAAGTAGGATATCATGCAAGCGCTAGCTCTGTTTTCTCTGGCGAGATACCACTTGCCTCCTCTTCCTGTCTCATTTTCTTTTGGTACTTTTCCTGAAAGACTGCCAAGTGCTTTCGAATTGATCTTTGTGTCACAATAAACTTAGGTCTCACCAAATAATTCATGTTGTCAACAATCTGTGTCCATAGTCTAGCTACCTCGTTCGACCGATCCCTTCTTGCTTTGGAATGGATTTACCAACCGAATATCTCGACAATAAATTAAGTTATGTTCCATAGTCCACTCCATCTGATAACAACAACAAAAATATCAATTTATATTGGTTTTGAAAAGTAATGTCACAGACACGAAAGGCTTTATATCAACCAAATATTAAATGCGTCTTCAGCCAAATTTTAAAAATGATAAAATGTAATTTTTATGTGCACTAATCAGCGAAACATAGGTGAAGAAATAGAATGATAAAAATATAAGTTTAAATATAAGTTTTTATCTGATTTGCATGCTCCCAATGCCCCCATGTTTCTAAAACATAACACAACCATTTGTAGATTTATATAAATACATACAACTAAACTACTTTGAGTTCAATTAGCAAAATTAGCATAGTTGCTGAGGCATTTTATTTATATTCAAATCAAATTATGCAAATATCAATATGGTGACAAACTATGAATTTAATAACAAGTTTAATTAACAAGTACTCTTTCAAAATGTTACTCTAATAACGGCAATTTTCACAAATACCTTTTATAATCTTAACTAACGCAAATTTTCATCTATACCTTTTATAACGTTAATCTCAAGTGATGAGTTCTCACGTTGCTGTTACAACGCCAAAACACTGGCTCTCATGTCGTCGACGCAAATTTTTTTCCGTAGACAGTCGGACTCCTCATTGATAGTCGGACGCATCATTGACCCGCGCCCTTAAACAAAACATTCAGCGGATACTCTTATTAGATGCGGCTTCCCAGTGATTTCAAAATATTGTATTGCTTGGTTGAGATGTCAAAATCCAATTGTGGCTTCATATCTTGTGTGGTGATGACATCTGACATATTTTGTTAAGTTATATTCGCCATTCCCACTTGCTTTTCTTTACTTTTGTAACTGTTTTTGGATACGATGTATTAATACATTTATATTTATTCTCAATAGATTAATAATAAATAGATTGAAAGATTAAAATCCCATGGCAGTAAAGGTAGCTACGAGTACAGTGACTTAGCATTAATAATAGATTAAATTGTCATGGTGTTAAAGGTAGCTTTACTTCTGGTGGATACGCAGATACGCAGTCAAGTAGTTATTTTAAGAACGAGTACAGTTAGATTAGCATTAGATCAAATTCTCATGCTATAGGTAGCTCCATATTTTAGTAGATACGCGGATACGTGGACACGCAGTCACTGAGTAGTTATTTTGAGATTAAGGTAATAAGCATTAATAGATTAAATTCATGCTATAGAGAGCTTAAATGTGGTGTAATATGTAAATATGTTCCTCACAACCGGACATTGGTGTTTGACAGATTATGATTAATTAGCGTCACTGGGAGAAAAAAATTTATATTATAAAGCATACTAAGCATAATATTAAACATTAACAGTCTTGCATGATAATTCCTTTATAATATCAATTCGTAATATTGTCTTAGTAATTAGTTTGTGTATATTCGAACGAGGCAATAAGATCTGGTATTTACGTGTCCAGTGAAATAGTGGCCAGGCTACATGATATGATATTACTAGTGAGTAGTGAAGAGTTTTCTGCAATACTTCTATTTGTGGAAAGTGGACGTGATGGTCGCTTTGAATCTTACAGTATTTCCTTGCACGCTAGTTATTGTAGTTTTCAATTGGGGTGATATACAGTTTTAACTCGCAATAACAGTTCTTGAGTATTTTCGGAACCAGAAAAACAAGTTTGTATATTTACTATGGCATCGCGAAGCAGATCGTCCATCTTTCTACACGTGGTCGAAGAAGAACAACGTAGAGATCAGTGATAGATATATGGTGCACCAGTGGATTACGCAGGGTACGAAGGGATCTATCGATAACGCACGGAGGCCTGGACGCGGATCAATGATGCGTCCGACTATCAATGAGGAGTCCGACTGTCTACGGAAAAAAAATTTGCGTCGTCGACACGACGAGAAACGTCACGAAATTGCAGCAAAAGTCAGCAAAATTAAGTTCAGTTAACACTTCCGGTCGGCGTTGCCGTCGCAGATCTCGTCCAATCTTAAAGTCCCTATTCTGACATACAATGGGGCATTCTGACCCGTCTGCTTCGTCGAGTAACAAAATTTCTTATCAGTTTGTTATGATTGATGGAACGTCCATACCAGATAATTTACTTTGGAGAGGTCGAATAAAAAATTTCTCACAGCCTTTTTCGTCACATCAGTCTCGTTTAATAGGTGATGGACAAGGCTCAATAAGCATGTGTTGTTGAGGAGTTTTTTAGAAATTTTCGTTTTTCAATCTCCCCACTAATCAACTCCATTCGCTAGTGTGCAACAAAACGTTCACATGTTTTTGACAAAGTGCAAGCATTATGCATTTGGTCGTTGCATAGCACACTTTGCCTGTGCGTCAACATCAATTGCTAATGTATCTTTTAAGAGCAGAGTTATTCATCCTAGCAGTGTTTCAGATATTTTTGATTATATCAATTTTTCATTGTTTTGCGTTTATTTGGACCAAATTCAATGTTGTTACCTTCAAAGTTCTGAACGCATTTTTGAACTTTCTAAGAGCAATGACGTGCTGCGAGATTATGCTCCATTGAACAGTGACATTGATGTTGAACTGTACCTCACCGTGCACAAATCCCACCCCTTCACTTCATTAAATATTATTCAACGTGGTTGTGCGCTTCATACGAAAATACAATATAGACTCACAAATTACGGTGACCAGCAAATATTGAGATAAATTCAAATAAAAACGTAACATAATGATTTATAGCTACTTTTACCTTTCAACTAAAAAAGGTAAACGTAGCTATAAGATATGTATATACGTGACAGATTTATATTTTTCCAGAACGGAGTAACGATTAACTTGATACCTTTGTTACGTACTGATTTGTGTAATTATTTTTTTTATTCTGTCATTGGTTCATGAGGTGATGCTCTAGTCATCTACATGAATCTATACTAATTCACTTGCAGCAGCCATAAATTTTCAGAAATATGCATGTCTATATCATCAGGTGATAACAGCTATGATTTTGAATAAAATTACAGACAGCCCCACATTTCTTGGGATATACCCACTCACCCTCCCCCCCTCCCTTCCTTCCATACGAATTGAGAGCTTCCAAACGAATTTACGTCTTATACGGCATGTGCGATCGTTGTTCGTTCCGTTCCGGGGAAAGATACATAGCCCTCCTAGTTTTCCTGATTTTGTGCCCCCAAACTGACGAACTCTTAAAAGGGACCCCGATACGTTTTCAACACATTATACACATTATAAATACAGAAAACTTTGATTTACAAACCTGTGGGTATCAGGCAGCTTGCATTGTATTCCTAAACGTAAACAAATATCGTCGTTAATTCTACTTTGTTTTTAAAACTTATCATTGCTGGAGACAAGATTTAA